GCGTGAGCAGGAAGCATAAAGTTCATGCTGCCGTTGAGGTTGGCGGCAAACTCGTTGACAAACGGAGCCGTGTAGTGGTGCGTGCCGAGACTAGAGGCACCTCCCAGACTGCCGTTGCCATTGGTGATGCCAACTGGAGAGTTGGTGACAGGAGCTAGAGTGTCGGCATTGTGGTTGTCGGGTGACGGGGCGAGACAGAGAGTGGAAAACTCGGACGCCATGCCGCCGGTTGTGCAGGTGTCGAGGCCGGCGGAACAGAAGCCCATGAGGCTGCCTTCGGCCTGCGTCAGACTGGACTCTCCGCTCCGACCGGGCATGGATTGACTGACGGCGGAGTACTGATCGAACGAGATTTCGGTGGCTATCGAGGGCGGAGCAGCAGGTCGCGTCAACATGAGGCTGTAGGGCAGATAGTTCCCGTTGCTAGCCGAGCTGGCCGTTGGCATGGCCATGAAGCCGGGCACCGAGACGAGGGTTGGGTTCTGCGTTGTCTGCGGCAAAGGATAGCCGCCGCCGGCGGCTGCTGCGGCTTGCAGAAACATGCCAGTGGAGGGTAGCGGCGGCGGATAGGCCAGAGTGGCCGAGTGACTGAGCTGGCCAGGGTTGGCGAGCGAGACGACGTTATGGTCGAAAGCTGCGGAACAACACCCGCCGGTGGTGGCGGTGTTCAGATAGGCCGATTGGCCGGGATGTTGGCTCATTCCCAGACTCATGGCAGAGGGAAATGTTGGTGGTGGCAGTGGCGGTGGCGGCGGCGGCGGTGGTGGTGGCGGTGGTGGTGGTGGTAGAACTGGATGGCCGTTCTGCAAATTGGAAGCGACCGACTTTCCGGAGGGCATGAGGCGGCCGGTCGAGGAGAGGTGACTGGTTGTTGCTGTCGACTGTTTGGAGAGCGAGGCCGTCTGGCCGGAGACCAACAGCATGGCCTGTTGCGAATGATGCTCGGGACCAGACGAGTCGTTCGTTGTGCTGCTGCTCTCGCCACCACCCGTCCCTCCGCACGTCACCACCATTCGACCCAGACTGGCCGATTTGCCCGACAAGTTGTGAATGTTGTTGGTGTTGCAAGTGCTGTTCAGGTTGCTCGTGTCGGCCAGCAGGTAGGCGGCAGAAAAGCTGGTTTTTGCACCTCCGTTGCCAAGAGGGCAGACGATTCCGCCGGACGCACTGCCCACGCCGCCCATTCCGAGACCCACACTCTGTCCGAGACCGTCACCAACACCTCCGGCCCCGTTCGACAAACCACTACTGGCAAGTCGAAGCCGCCGACGCATCTGATTACGTCGTTGTCGGCAGACTAGCAGACAGCCGAGGCAAGAGATGACGAACACCAGACAGATGACCGGGAGCAGAAAGTAGAAGATCAGGCTCTGTTCACGCTTCACTCCCTCCGGATCTGTCATGGGAAAAGAGAGACAAGCCTTAACAATAAAGAACGCCAGAATCACAATCATATAAGTAGAGAATATATGAAGGCCAAAACTGTTATGGTCGCATTCTCCTTTCGATTTATAAAGGTGGGTTGACCTCGCTGTCGCAACTTGGTCTTGTTGTCAGGGCGACTATGTAGAAGGCACCTAGTCCGAAGTCGTCTGCCATAGT